TGGAAAAGGAAGGGTCTTTACCTTTTTTTCAGTCTGTGAGCCCAAATGGAGAGAAGGAGAACCACTTTACTAATATATGTAGTGCAAATAGCCCCCGTGTAATTGATGTTATACGTCTCATTTGTATTTTTCTACTGTAGATTAGACTAAACTTTATTATATCCCTTGGGATTACTCCATCAGGGAAATTCTGGTTCTGGTAGCTTACATAGAGTACAAAGAGTTAAAGCGAAATGCCATTAAAGATAACAAAATGACAGACAATATAAAAAGAGTGCATATAGTACAAAAAAGTATTAAAAAAGAAAAAAAAAGTTGTAATGTCCTAGAGTACGTTTCCCTGAGATATAGAAAATATCTGCACAGTAGAGAGCTAAGGGAAGACTACACAGTAGTTGGCATGTGTTATTGCACAGTGAGAGAGAAGAATATTGCACATGAGTGACAATAGGTGATGTTTTACGTAAGATGTCTAAGGAGGGGGGTGCTGACCCTTGTCCCTCCTCCTATCACCTCCTCCTTCCCCTAAGTGAGGGGTTGTACAGCTTGATGGCTTGAAGAACAAAGGAGTTCAGCAGTCTCTCCCACTGATCAGGCTCCTCTGAGTGGTAAAGATAATGGCTGGCATTGTTCATAATGTCCAGCAGTTTAAGCGTCCTTGTCTCTACCACCGTCCTCAGAGGGTCCAGCTTCTTGCCAAGCACAGAGCAGGCTTGCCTCACCAGTTTGTTCAGTCTGGATGTGTCCTTCATGGATGTGCTGCTCCCCCCGCACAGTGTAGAAGAGGACACTGGCAACCACAGGCTGGTAGAACATCTCCAGCAGCTTATTGCAGATTTTGAACGACCTCGGTCTCCTCAGGAAGTACATCCTGCCCCTAGTCTTCCTGTGCAGGTGGTTGGTGAGTGTTGACCAGTCCAGTTTATTATCCAGCCACACCCAAAGGTATTTGTATGAATCCACAGCCTCCCCCTCAGCCCCCTCTAGTAGTACCGGCTTAGTCTTTGGTCCATTCCTCCCATAGTCTATGACCAGCTCCTTTTTCTGGAGATGTTACTTCTAGGTGGTTGGTGCGGCACCAGGTGGCAAAGTCCCCCACCTCTCTGTTGTCACTGATACAATCCACAATGGCGGTGTCATCTTCGTACTTCTGTACGTGACACAGCTCAGAGTTGTAACAGAAGTCAGAGGTGTATAAGGTTAAGAGGACAGGGCCCAGCACTTTGCTGTGGGGGGTCTCCAGTGCTGCTGATCAGTTTCAGAGATGGTGTCTTTCAGCCTGACATACTGTGGCCTATCTGTGAGGTAGCTGGAGATCCATGCCACCAGGCAGGGGTCGACTCCCATTCTATTCAGTTTATCTCTTAGCTCAGTTTGTCTCAACAGCTTGATGGAAAATGGGCAAAGTAGAGTCCAAGGTTGCATGGTCAAAGTCACCCAAAATGATTAAAAATGCAAAAAGGTTCTGATTTCGTAGTCAGGCTGTGGCAGCGTGTATCTCCTCGCATTCAGTGGCTGAGCAGCTCTTGGGGGAATGTAAACACAGATGACGATCATGTGACTGAATTCCCTCGGCAGATAATATGGCTGCATGCCAACGGCGAACAGCTCAAGGTCCCGGCAGCATAACACAGTCTTTACGGAGGTATGTCCTGAGTTACACCAGCGGTTGTTGACAAACATGATCAGGCCCCACTAGCTTTGGTGTCTCTGTTGGCTCTCACTGCAGTGAATCTCAGGAGGTCCACATTACCTTCCGCTACGAGGTGGTTTAGCCTTTTCTTGGTGAAATCAGCAGGCCGCTTTCTCTATAAATTTGCAGGTTGTTCAGTGCAGTCAGGTTGTCAATCTTGTTAGACATCGAGTTCACATTCCCCATGATTATGGAGGGGATCAACGGTTTGTAGCTCCTCGAATTCTCTGCTAGCCTAGCCCGATACTTATGCTTTCTGTCCCCATTGTTTCATTAAATGCTGAACACTTCTTATACCTCTGTTTTTTTTAACTATACAGCTAACTTTTTAAATTTTTTTCTTTGAATAGTATTATTTCTGCATTTTTTTATGTATTTTGTCAACTTTTTCAAGCATTGTGTCTACTTGTTTTGCCATATTTTGCCATATAACAGTGGAATGATAAAGTCCTTTATTTTTCTAATTATACCCCCTTTTTCCCTCGATCCATCCATATTATTGATAAACCCGCTCATTACCTGCAAAGAGCTGCGGTCTTGTAGCCATAATCGTAATAAAAACTCCATAATCTGGGTCATTTTTGGAATGTGTAAATATTAAAATAAAATTGACCCGAAAATCGAGCCTTGAGGAACCTCTATGTGTGATTTTTTTTTTTTTTTTTTTTTTTTTTAACATGTCCAAAATACAGCATTAATTCAGGAATGCTTCAGATAGAAGATTGTTTTGGAACTATATAAATAATTTGGTGTAGTAAACAAATTCCAGTAAGGCTTAATGTTTGTTATATTTGTGTTGGATCTTATGTTTTCTATGCATTTCTCCATGTAGACATTTGGCCTTGGAAGCTTTGTTTCTTGTCTCTTTATTAGAGGTCAGTATTAAACTTTTTTGTTCTATTTTAGAGAAACTCGGCTGACGGAGGCAGTGGACAACATATGTGAGCGCATCCTGCAGTATAAAGTTCACGCTGAGAGGCCCGGTAGTCTCAGATACGCCAAGGTAATATTTTCTTACATTTTATGTAAATTGGAGCTAGCAGTGGTCACCGCTGGATTATTTTCTACTATTTCATCACCGTATTAAACTGTGTAGATTCAAACATTTGGTTTGTCTTCTTGTCATTTGGCTGCAGGGTTCCAGTCAAACCATGATGACTCTGAAGAATCTGGTCAACAAAGGAGTGAAAGTAGACCTGGGTATGCCCTATGAGCTCTGGGACGAACCGTCTGCTGAGGTGACAGACATGAAAAAACAGGTAAGATGGAAAACACCCAAAGGCTCGTGTTTGCCCTGCAGTGTTTCCATGTGGACTGGCATTGAAAGACAAAGTTTTATCTTTTGTTTGAACAGTGCGAGACAATGCTGGAGGAGTACGAGGAGGTGGTGGAGGACTGGTACTTCCACCATCAGGACCGGAGGCTGGAGAACTTCCTCTGTGAGAACCACGTCCTGAAGACGTCAGAGCAAGGTTCCGATGTTCAAACACGGCAGCATTGCATGTTTTTCTTTATTTTTTTTTAAGGGAAATTTTAGCTAAAGTTATACATGATGAAAAATGTAATAATTTGATCTCTTTTTGTAATTACTCAAATGAGAGGCACATAATCCTCATCATTTGACCAGGTGCCTCATACGAAACAAATTGTGGCAGGAGGAAAAAAACAAAAACAAAACCCAGACAGGTTTTTTGGTGCCCGAGGCGAGATAAAGCTGAATACAATAAACACAAATGAGGAAAAATTTGATAACACCCACAAAAAACATTCAAGATTTTAGAAAATATTTCCAAAGCAGCTGAAAGGTTTTTGCATTTCACTGAATAAGGAGCGACAATCCAGCTAAACCCTGTTTCCTTAGATCCATTTCTGCTCTAATACACCTGAACCATATTATTAAGTCAGTAGCAGGACTAGAGAACTTGTTTGATTGCTGAGGATGTATTTGAGCCATTTTTTTCAGGTGTATTGGACAAAAACTAAAAGCTGTAAGACACGATCTGTGACATAGACCAAGGCCCAATACCAAACTGGGCCGCTAAGCACCAACCCTGAGCGTTAACCCTCTGTTATTGGATGTTTAGCGAGTCTGCATAAGGACAGACTCGCTGGAATTTGGCATCAGGTGTAGCAGTAGTATTGGGCCTTGGTGTAAACCACAGATTGCTGTGTTACAGCTTTTAGTTTAGGTCCAATAAAACGAAAAAAAATGATTCAAATACATCCTCAGAAAGCAATGGCAGAGGAAGCGCGTGCATTTAAATCTAAGTTCCACCGGTTTGCTGCATTTTCATTACACTGATGAAAAATCACAAGTTAGGTATAAGAAAAAATTTAATTCCAAAGTGGACAGTCCAAATAGTTTCTTGGACTGTATACATTTGTTTTAACAAAGGGGTGAATGTTATATTTTATGTCACCCTGTGCTAAAGAGCTACAGCCACGCACATGGGACGTCACTGTGTTGCCTTAGCAACGACTACTTTCTTTATCTGTTGAAGGGAAGAGGCCGTTCCATTCCCCCACCCCCCCCTTAAATCATGGCGCCTTCCACAGCTGCGAGTGTGACTTTATTGCGCATGACATAATGATAGTTAAAGTGATAGCGGTGAGGGAGCGGTCTGAGATTCAGCCCAAGAGTTTTAAAATGGTCCCCAAACTCGGGGCCATTAGGGGCCAAGTGTTTCTATGCTGATGCACACCCGACTTCAGTGACTAGGTGATGCATTCATTTAAATTATGAAGGACTATAACTGAATTTTTGGAAATTATTGTAAGCAGAATACAACTGCTTTTTATTGTGTAACATTAAATACTAGCATTTAAAATCTGAAGGGGGAAAAAAAAGTATCATAAATTAAAAATGTAAAGGTTTTGCCGTTATGCTCCTGAAGTTTTTGTGTTCCTACATGCAGACTGTCTGAAGGAGGTGTGGAAAGGTGACACGGGCGATAAAGGAGGAGCTGAAGAAGTAAGCGGAGCGGAGAGAGTGGAGAGCGCTGCACACGACGCTGGAGAACTCTGAGGAAAAAACATGAAAGGAGAGAGGATTACGCTACACTCCAGCATTAAACTGCAGCTGCAGCTCCAAGGACAAAGGCAGAAATTATCTGTGCTTATGGGACAATCTTTACTTTTAGAAATAACACTTTTTTTATAATTTATACAGATTTTGCATCATTTTACTCCCATTGCACCATGTACAGTTTTATATACTGGAATAAATCTTTTCTTTTTTAAACATTGTTGACTTGTTTAATGCATGTCTCTTGGATCTTTGGAAGGTTAGCAATCATTTGTTGGAGTCCGTGCTGCTCAGCTAATCAGACCCCATCAGATTCAGCTGTTCCTCTCTTGGCCCCTCTAAACACACCAAATCAGAGAAGCAGCAAAACCAACCAAAACAATGAGTGTTTTTCCTTCCTTTTTCTTATTAACTGCCTGTTTTCTCCAAGCTAGGAGCTACACGTATCCAACCGAACAGCTTTTTCTGACCTACTCTGACCTGGCTGCTCTCAGACTGAGCTTCCTGCTGCAGTCTGATCTCCAGGCCCTATTGGTGAGCTGTCAGGAAGACAGCATGGAGATAACGATGAGGCCACATCTCTTAGACCCAGACTTCCCTGTGAAGCTTGTCGAATGAGGCTCGGATCACCTGTTTCTGGATGGGATCGCTGCACCACCAGGCGTCGGTTAAACAGAGAGTTCATCATCAGTGCTTCTCTGGCTGAGTGTGGCAGCAGACTGATGGTGGGCGAGACCTTTTCACCCTCAGCTGCTCCAGTTGAGAGCTGCTTCATGCTGCCCCCTGCTGGCTATTTTTTCTAATGGTAATTTTTGGGTTGTTTATTTTTCAGTATACAGGCGATGGATGCAGTTCTGTGCAGTAATACACTTCTGTTGTTCTTGGATGGATTATCACCTGGTGACACTTTCCAAATGGTTACCATTCCAGTACCGTGTCGCTACAGAAGGTGAAAAATTATGGACATTTGAATTAGTAATCGTTTTTAATAATCGGATTAATCGTAATTAAATAATCATCAACTAATTTAGCAATCGATTAATCGTTTACTGGAGTATAGAGACTCTAAAACATGCCTTTAGCTGAAAGACTGACCAAAATTGTAAGAATATATATATAAATACTTTGAATTTAAGTTAAAAGAGTCAATATGCTATATCCAGAACTATAGTGGAAAAGTTTTTGTTTCACCTGGTTTCATTTAATAAAAACTTTTCTTTAAGGAACATTTAGCTATCCGATTATTAATGGATTGTCTTTTTATATATCTAAACAATTTCATTAATACAAAAACTGAGCCCTGTAGACTCAAATAAGGATCCTCTGGGGTTTCTGAGTGTTTTATGGTTTGATCCATGATTGTCGGCTCCTCTAAAAACTTGCCAGTCAGTGGAAATATAATATTTCACCAATAAACAAACAAAATTTGACTTTAATTATACAGCTACACTTTATTTACAACAGTTATTTGCTGCTTAATGTTGTAATCAGTTTGCATTTTTATATATTACCACCTTTCACATGTTTATTAATCTGCCTGGAGTCTTGTGTTTTTTAACTGAAGGAGGTTTGCTGTGAGCAGTGGAGCTCTGAAGCCAACATGGACGTCCCTCTACTCCGTCCACTCGGCTCATCTCAGCCTCGATTTCTGACGGGTGAGATGTCCGCAGAGTGCTGGGAAGAAACAGCCATGCAGCTGCTTAGTATGAAAAGGCTGAGGCCTTTCTGCTGACCTTGTCTAAAACCTTCATAGCTGTCTTGAAATGTACGTTCTTTCTTTCTACACTGAAAAAAATAAAATAAAGCAACCATTTTTTGGCATTTACCTAATCATATTTAGTTACTTTAACGCAATTGTTTCATGTTAGCTGGATAGGCCATAAAACAATTGTGTTAAAATAACTAAATATGATTAAATAAATGCACAAAAGCAGTTGCATTAGTTTTTTCAGTGTAAAACCTTTAGATTTCTGAGGTTTTAACTTATTTGTTAATCCTTAGTCCATTGAGAGCATTTCAGTTCAGTTTTCTTCGCCTTAAGAACAAATTGTCTCTCAGTTTTCCCTGTCTTTAAGCTTTTGTTGTGGAGGTTATACACAGATTTATTGCAGAAGCAACTTTACACAGTGTTGGCTGTGGGCTTTTCAGATGAAATTAGTTTCTCTTTTCCCTTTTAGAAATAAGTAATACTTTCAAGTTAAATCCTACTGATTACATAGAGGACTCTGGTGGAACAAAATGTTTACGTTTCAAGAAATTTTAAAGTTCCTCATATTCCTTTAGAGTAATTTTTTTAAAGAAAATCAAAATGGTATAAACGAAGAACATCTGACAGAATTGTTGTGGTTCTGTTTGCTTTGGTTTGTTATCATTTTATAGGTTTTAAATACACTGAAACTTAATTTTTTTTCCCCCATCAGACAACTGGACTAGTGAGAGAAACTCACCCGTTTACTTAATGAGTGAAATGGTGAACATCCAAGGCTCAAAAGGCCATCATCATCATCATCATCATCATCATCATCATCCTCCTCTTTGCCTGTATGCAGGCAGCTGTGTGGACACCCTGAGCCGTGATGTGGACTCCCATCCCAGATACCCCTTCATAGACCACCAGAGGTGAGTCCTACATCTTCAATGTCCTCTGCACTTCCTCCACAGTCAATCCATCCATTTCCTTCTTGCAATAATTTCTGGAGCTGGAGGAGTTAAATCTTACAAAGACATGTCTGATGTTTGCAGATGTTTCATAGACTCCCAGCTGAGTGGCTCCGGCTCCAGCTTCCTGCCCCGGGTCTGGGACGAACTCCTCCACATTCAGCTGGAGCCATTCTTCTTCCACCAGGACCGCAGGAACTCAGTCAGTGCCAATTTTAATGCTTTATCTTCTTAGTTCCTGCATAAATGATACAAAAAAAAAACACACACAACTGTCCTTCTATCCTCCCTGCAGATTTTCCTCACATGCTACATGGAAGCTGTCCCTATCTCAAAGAAGGACCCAGAGAATAAAGCCTGCTCTTTTATAGCTGGAAGGTCCATGTTTGGGAAGATTAAGGCATACAAAGAAAAAAAAATCAAAAAATCATGTTATAAAACACATCTGGTTTGCTCTCAGGTGGAGATCAGCAGATGGGGATGATCGTGTGTGAGAGCTGCAACAGAGCAGGAGAAAGGGCTGACAGCAGCAGTGCAGATTTCAGCCACGAGAGGGGGCTAATGAGTCGCAGAGAGCAGGGCTTTAACGCTGGAAAGTGCTTGGTTTCCTGACCAGCAGATGATAACCAAGATGTTGTTTTATTGCAGAGCTGCAAAGAGAGATGAGTTTGGGTCCAATCATTTTCCTTCAGGAGGGAGATGACAACAGCAGCTCTGGATCCTGTAAAGAGGACTCAAAGATTTCATATTGCTGCCAGCTAGAAGTTGTTTGCTCATAATTTCACTTAAAGAAAGACAAAACATATTAGTGTGTGGAACTAGGCATCTAAAGAAGAAGAAACGTGATAAATATAATATGAAAACGTTAAGACTAAATTACAGGATATTGCAGCTGCCTTTAAAAGTTTTTTTTTTTAGAAAAACCTCTGCATTCTGGACTCCCTGTGTTGCCAAGGTTACGAATAGCCAGTGCTGATGTCTGCAAAAATAATAATTCCTTATAAAAACAGAGGCTGTGAGAAAAAAAAAAGTTTGTTTTTTTAATCAGAAAAATTGCACAAAACTGTTTCTGCTCAATTTCATAGTGTCTTGCAAAAGCATTCAAACCTCACTTGACAACAAAGTATTTTATTAGGTTTTCATGTATCAGTTCGATTATCGCTGCCTTACCTACTGCGGAGTGGGAGGACAGATATATATTTACAGGGAAAAAAAACAGAAAAGGAACTGTAGTGACCTATCTCTGCTGTGATACTTCAAAATAAAATCCAAAGCAACCCTTTGTCCTCAAAAGTCCCCAATGTGTAGATGGCATCCACATGAAAAGCTTAACTGTAGAATAAATAAGAATATATATATATTAGTGAACAAATGTAATTATGAGGACCAAAATGTACAAAACATTGCACATATTAAAACACCATCCCTACATGAAAATTGGCGCTGGCACCATCATGGGTTGGGATGCTTTGCTTCTGCATGCACAAAAAAAAAGAAAAAAAAGAAAATCCTATTATGATACTATAGCATTTTTTCAGAACTTCTTTTTCTGCAATATTTGCACCCTTTTCCCCTAATCTTAAGTGGCTGGTTAGAGACAAGGAAATACTGGAAAAGGCTCCAGAAACCTTGCGACTGGGGCAGAGGTTCGCCTCTAGGAGGACACTGACTCTGAAAAAGCACCTAGAGCTACAACAGCATGGTTTTAATCAATGCATCTATGTATTAGAACGGTTTAGTCAAAGCCTAGATCCAAATTTGATTCAGAATTTCTGTCCAGACTTGAACATTCAAATTCAAGGAAACTTCCCAACCAATTAGAACAAGAAAAACAGAATCTTAACTCATGCCACACTATTCCGATTTTTTTGTTTTGTTTGTTTTTGTCATGCAAGACTTTGCATGAATTTCCTTCCACCTCCATGGTATGCTCTGCCTTGTGTTGGTCTGTCATAGGAGCCAGCTAGAATATACCAAATAGAAGCTACTGACATTTCCCTTCTACTAGAAAGGATATGGAAATCGAAGAGGGGATCAGCAGAGGGAAAGGAGGAAATATGATTGGCTCGTTCTAATCACCATCACCAGGAACAAACGGCTTCTCCATAGATCTGGACGGTTTAACCCAGTGTGGACAGAGGTGGGGGGAGGAGTTAAACTTTGCTAAAGTTAGAGCAGCACTACAACGTTATATGTAATGAAAAGTACAATACAGTCAAACAATTACTAGGAATATATGCATAGTAACTAATTACTTTTAATCAATTACATTTAGTTGTTCAGCTTTTCGAAAAACGAATTTACTTTTAGGAGTAGTTGTACTTTACTTTTTACTTTTACTAGTAATATACCTGTGGTTGTGTCTCCATTGTTGAGTATATTTTCTGGTTATTCTACCCACCATGTGTAACTGCATAGATCTGGTGAAAATAGAGTAAACAGTAGATGCTCTTGCTGGAAGTTCTTTATCCTTTCCTAACATATTTGCTTTACCTGCGGTAAAGAATGGTTTTATAAGATTTTACTGAAAAGAATTA